GATGGATGGACTTTTTTTTTAGTTTCTTCGCATCTGTTTGAAATTAATTGTATTTACATTTTATTTTTACATCTTAATTGATATATTTGTGTAAATAAAAGCTCCAACTCAGAATTGGATCTTGTCCTGTGTTTGTGCTGGCTTCAGGTAAAAGTGCAGTACATGATCCTGCAGATGATGTCTGAGTTTTTGTTGCCTTTGAAGTTTTCAAAGTAAAAGATGCATGAAAGATATTGTGTTCCTCTCTCTGTTGGTCCATTATGGTTTATGGGGCCTTTATCTCATGTCTGTGTTGTGGTTGTTGTTTGCAGGTAGGAAACATCGGTCAGGCTAACTACGCTGCCTCTAAAGCTGGAGTCGAGGGTTTAACAAGGACCGCCGCCAAAGAGCTCAGCAGGTAAAACAAAGCGATGCAGCGACGCGCATGAGCTGACCGGAAACTCACCTGTGTCTCCGCCTCTCTCCCTCCAGGTTTGGGATTCGCTGTAACTGCGTGCTGCCGGGGTTCATTACGACTCCAATGACAGATAAAGTGCCAGAGAAGGTTATTAGCAAGGTACAACACACACACACACACACGCGCACGCACACACAGACACACACACACTCTCACACACACACACACACACACACACACGTACCTGGAGGGGCGATGCTGCTGAATGTGACGTGAAGCCAAAATAAAACATTTGATTATTTTAGTTTTTTCCTTTTTTCAAAACATTTTCATGAACTCTGATCACTGCAGCTGTTAAATATCATAAAAACTCATAAAAATATTGTGACTGAAACAAAGCTGCCAACATATTTATTTACTTCCTGCTCCTCAGTGAAGCTGCAGCCATGTTTGTGTTTCAGATCGAGTCCTTGGTGCCTCTGGGAAGGATGGGCGAGCCGGCGGGTCAGTTTCACATCACTGATGCTTTTCACCGTCACTCTTCATCCACGACATCAGATTCATACATGTGTCGTTCTGCTCCGGCCACACCGACACCAGCTGCGTTTAAATGAACCTAAAGCTGCTGGATGAGTGTGATTTGTCCAAACATATATATGGAACATGAGAACATCAGTGTTTCTGCATTTTAGAGCCATCAGCCACTTTAACGAGTGTTAAAATAGGACTGTGTTAGAAAACAGGAGCAGTGTTGGGAAGGTTACTTTTAAAATGTATTCCATTACAGAATACAGAATACATGTCCCAAAATGTATTCTGTAACGTATTACGTTACGTTACTCAATGAGAGTAACGTATTCTGAATACTTTGGATTACTTAATATATTATCATGCTGTTTACAACTAC